GTGTGTGTGTGTGTGTGTGTGTGTGTGTGTGTGTGTGTGTGTGTGTGACCTTGCGTCGCAGCCACCATTGATCGGGCTGGAGCTGTCAATCGATCAGTCTGGTCTGTGTGTGAAGATAAAGGTGTTTCTATCTCTGGACACTCCAGTTGCCGGGTGGCAGCAGAGAAGGGAGGTGTGCAAAGTAGAGACTGTGGGCCACATTTGGCACATTTCCGTGTGTCTGAGAAGGGCTTTATGACTGTTTTTACTTTACTGCAGTGTCATTAAATTCAAGTTTAAGACAGATGTTAAAAAACCTGATGGAAGTTCTCCAGCTTGCACTGGCTTTGGGCACGATGAGCAGTGGTGTATGACACATTTGAACCCTGGTGACTTTTGATTTCTTAATGAATGCAAAAGTTGGAAACACACAGGGGCGCTCCCTTAAAGCAACAGAGCGTTGTTGATAGTGCATGAGAAGTATGTTGCTGATTTATTCATTTATTTTTCTTTATTGAAAATAATTTCATCATTTTAGTGCTCCTATTGACCTTCGCAAGACTTCACCACGCCCCCCCAAAAAACCAACCAATCAGAGTCGAGAAGTCTCTAACGTAGCTCTCAATCACTGCTTGTGAACTCCGATCAAACTGATGAACATGACTCAAGATTCTGTTATTGTGTTGCCTATTTCGCGCCTCAGATGTTTTCAGAAACATATCTTAGTGTGCTGTTAAGCTGTAAAATGAAAATGAAAAGTTTGTGACCCGGCTGCCATGTTGAAAAACCAAGCACCGCGCCACCGGTTTTACAGCTAAACACTAAAACATGTTTCTGAAAACATTTGAGGCGAGATAAACGGTAATGCGGTGACGGAATCTTGATTCATATTGATGCCTGCCTAGTTTGACAGTTTGACCGGAGTTCACGAGCTTCACGAGCAGCGATTATCAGCTGCTTCACATGCTTCTCGGCTCTGATTGGTTGTTTTTCTTTGGACGCCTTGGAATCTTGCAAACTCCTTTAGGAGCACTAAAATGAGGCAGAGGAACTTGGTTTTCACACATATCATCTGTCTCGTGTACTACTGTCAGGATATAGTGACAGTTGGAGTAAATATGATAAAACGTTTTTTTTACTAAAGTTACCAGCTGTAGCTTTAAGTCCATACGTCATGAATTTAACTCTGAGACGTAATGCAACACGGCTGCAACTCAAGAAAAGTGAGACGTTTTGTGAAATATTATACACATGAGAGCATAATGAACTTTAAAAGAGACGGCATAATAGAACACCAATGCCATAAAATGCACTGATATCTGATGCCTCTATGATGAATATCCACATTAGCCCACCATAAAGCAACTTGAGGTAAGTACTCGCACACTGGGATAATGTCCCAACACTGACATAAAGACACACTAAAGCCCGATCTTTTAACATGTGTTCTTGGACATAAAAAGATTTTAACCGACTGGATAGCTTAATTTAGCCATTAGTGTGTCAGTTTTATGAATCCTGTAAGAGCAGCCATATTTGATGTGGCTGTTCAACATCTGTCAGTCATTGAATCGGGTATCAGCAGGTATCAGGTTGCATTCATTTCCCTCCCTACTTATGGAGCCAAAATTCCTGTATCATTGGGTCCCTGGGCGCACATGCAGGGCACCGACACACACACGCACACACACACACACACACACACACACACACACACCGCTTACTGCACCACTGCATGCATATCTCACCTGCTCTAATCTAATCAAAGAGAAATACTTATATGTTGATAATGATGCAGGAGAGATATGCACAGTGCCTCACCTCTGTCCACAAACACAGCCGGGTATGAGGACCGATAGCGGGAAAAAACGAGCGCACCTGAAGCCGGCGAACAAATATAGAACACAAAGAGGCACGAGGGACTTCACAGACTTCGAGAGATCTTATATTCTCTTTGTCTCTTTCCGTCTCTCCATCTCGGTCTGTCTCTCCATCTCTGTCCCAGCCTCCTGCTCCTCCTGGCTCTACTCTCCTTCAACGATTTTAGGGTTGTTGTTGTTGTTTTGGGTGGGAGGGGGGGGGGGGGGGGGGGGGGGGGGGGGGTTCTACCCGCAGATGAAAAGTAGAGAAAAGAGCATTTGCACACCTGAGTGAATAGAGCTCGCAGGTGCGTGGGAGGAGAGCTATGGGAATCAAACAGGGTCTCTCTCTCTCTTTGTCTATGATGCTCACTCTCTCTCACTCCTGGGGTGTTTTTTTTATTTTTTACAGTGCTTGTGTTTGTATTGGAAACTTGTGGGCGTGCGAGAGTGTGTGTGTGTGTGTGTGTGTGTATGCGTGCACATGAGTGTGTGTTTTTGTGTGCATTGCTCCCATTGTGAGGGCTGAACGCTCTTGGCTCTGGTGCTGTATTTAAAAACAAACCCACAGGTTTCGGTTGACGCGCCCTTTTACTCGCAGATTGCTCCGTCCGATACAAGGCGCTTTGGCTCTGGCTCGCCACGATGACCTCATCGGGTCTTCACGCGGCCATAAGTCCAAACAAACCCCCGGAGTAAACCAAAACAAACTGCGCTTCTCCCATTTGCGGTCACTGCAAGGCTGGCAGTAACAATAAACAGGCCCGAGGCCGGCACAGCATCAGAGCAGGACAAAGCAATGACAGGCACACACACACAGACACACACACACACACACTTAGAAACGACGCTGAAGAACAAATGTAACCGTACTTCACTAAACACAAAAATCCCACACAAGTTGCATTGAAGGACACATCCAGGGATACGCAGCAAAAAATGAACAATAGAACAATTTTTTTTCTTTCTGCTTGAAAAGAGAGAGCTGAAGTTTGTTTAAGGTCAAACAAGCGAAATGAATGAAAGCTTTTTAAAATAAAAAATAAGACCCTAAAATCTCCTGAAAACTCATCTGGTCATTTTTTGCAGTGTAAGTCCTGTACCGGCTCCGCCCGTGGACCGGATCACACATAATTCTCAAACCAAATTACTCTAAACACACCCACCCAATCCTCACCATCATCATCAGTGGAATAAACAAACACATTGAGACACAATCAGAAATCAGCCATGCAATCATAACAAACCCCCCCCCCCCCCCCCCCCCCCACACGCACACACACACTCACTCCGCCCCCTAATCTCCGGTTCTGCTTCCTCGACTCACCGATGATGAAGTAGTCGTGCATGCTCTTGAACTCGTGGCCCCAGAGGTTGGGCGAGAACTCCTGGAACTTGATGGTGAAGCGGCGCTCGCGGGTGGGCTCGTCGCAGGTCAGCACGATGTTGGGCGGGCCGGTCACCTCGCAGCGGTCCGCCTGCTCCCGCAACGACACCAGGTAGAGCTTGTAGAACTCGTACTCGGGCGTGGACCTGGCCGTGTCCAGCGGGGGGCAGATGAGGTCCAGCCGTTCCCCGATCTGAGGGTACAGGACGTAGCCCTTATCGTCCCTGAACCTGGAAGACGGAAAGAGGAAGAGGAAGATTAATGACAGCCTTTTGCTTCCTGCAGTAGAAACCAGCTCAGAGACACCTGTCCTTGCTGCAGAATGAGCAACAGATGGCTCCTTCAACGCTCTTATTTATCCTACTTCTTTCTTACTCCTTCACTGGGAACAGGTGGCTTTACAGAGGAGCTGCAGCACAATCAACTGCACAAATAAATTTGGACCACACAATCGCAAGCAATCCCCGGTTAGCCCCGCGAAGTGGTGGAGAAAAAACTGAGGAAATATAACCACCAGCTGACGATCCACATGGGGAAAATAAACCCCTATCCGAAGCCGAAGAGGACTCCACAACATTTCTGTCCAGCAGAAATGACCTTCAGTTAAGTATAGGTTAAGTCTCAGATAATACATAAATATCTCTGAAGTAGTCAAATGTATGCAAAAGCAAACTACAGGCGCTAACAAGTGGAGGAACGGGAGCAATATTTCCATCCACACAAGAGCCTCGCGTCTACTTGAGACGAGATAGAATTCAAAACAAAAACATACTGCAAACAAATGTGAGGGAAAGTCAACAAAAAGTCTCGCAATGAACACACTCGTGTTGAGTGTGTTCATGGGAAATGACAGGGAAACATCGTAAACAACGAAAACTTTTTTTCTTTCTGGCAGGACTCATTTCCGTGTTTTTCAGCCCTTGTATTTCGAAATGAGAAATGAAGCGTGTCCATAGAGGAAGACACGGGCAGACAACTGAACCAAGCTGCCAAATCTCAGGTATGTACAGTTAATTAGTTTGCTAATTAGCTGTTTTGATGTCTGTCATCCGTGTCTTGATATGAATGATATGCAGCCTGTTTGTTTATGGCCGAACTGACAATTTGACACCTGCTGTCTGTGGGGAAACCTGCAGCCTGAACCCATTCTAATGCAACAAGAAATACGCTTTGAAAATGGTTTATCATCATCATCATCATCATCATTAGAATTTCACCGTGGCTTTCATTTTAGTCGACAGCTTTGATGGTCTTAATGATCTTAAAAGGACTTTCTTGGGGTAAAAGCTGCAGCAGGTTTTGAGGAATATATTGAAATGAATTCTGCACATCGGCAAATTGGTCAAAGCCAAGTTTTTTCTCTTTTTTTTGCAGTATGGCGGCTGGCGTGCTCGCACAGCTTTCAGAGGTCGAGCAGAGAACACGAAACACAGCAGTCAGAGGGGCATAAACTCAACAAATGACTCAGAGTCTGTCATTCCCCTCACCGCGCAGGGCCATCTCTTGCTGATAAGGCCAAATACTATGAGTTATCAACTGAGCCCCTGAGGCCTGCGATGACTTTAACGCTTCACGCATGCACGGCTAAGAGTGGGGATTCAGAAAGTAGTCCTCGTCTATGCACACCCATCATGACTTTATCTCAGGTTAAGATAAATGTCACCACCGGCAGAAAGAAGGAAAGTGTTTACAGAAGTAAAAGATGAAAAGGAGGAGGAGATTTGCTGGAGTTTTTTTTATTCCCCCACACAGAATGTTAAGTGACACTTTGATGTTTAAGTGGGAGGAAGCAAATGCCTGTAATGTTAAGAAGCCCATTTTCTGTTCCCGCGGACTCACTCGCCGCTTCTGTTTCCAACAAATCCACATGAACACTTGGGAGTCACAGCACTCAAACCGGCTTAGTTATTCTCTCTGTTCTGCTGTCAGACAACTGTGTGACCATTAAAAAATAAACAACGCAGGATCAGAAGGCACGAACGCACCGAGAATGATGTCGCCCACCTTAACGGTTAAAAAGACTAAATAAATCCTACTAATGTCACATTAGCGACAAATTTCGATGAGCGACTTTCATTTGTCCAAATGGGCTAAATCGGGGATTGTTTTTCTTTCTGGCTTCCACTTGAAAGCAAAAGGTCATGCCAATTAACTAATGGAAAAAATGGGCAGGAAACAAAGGGGCTAAGTGGATTTTTATTGTTATAATTTCAACTTCCTTTGCACGTTTCTCATTAGCTAAACCAACTTGTGCAAATTAAAGAAGCACTCCAGAAATGTAATATTGCCCTTTTTATAAAGTTGAGGGACTTGCAACAGACAGATTTTTCCGACTTCCCTGATGTGGGATGTGCTCCAAAAACACCGGATCCTACGTTTCTCATAGTGCAACTTTTACAGCATTTTTGTCAGACCCTCACTGCCTGCTAAATCTGTAAAAAATCCCCCAGTTTTTTCACAGGTTTTCCATTAAAATGGTGAGGTCTCCGAGCCCAAACCCTGTTAGCTGACGACATCACTCTGACATCAGCAGTGTTATTTCCTCAGACTTCAGAAGCCTCCCTTCAGAGCCACAAAAAACATGAAACCGTGTGCACGGGCTGTGCCGCAATGTGTAGAATCGGTGGAATGCCCCTTTAAAAGTGCACTTTGCCCAAACTACCATGAAAGACACAACGCTCTCCCGCAATATTGACAGTGAACATGAGAGCAAGATGAGATCAATTTTGCCGTCCAAATAACTTGCTGACCTGACTTGCTCGTATCAGATCATCTTTTGTTTTTGTTCCCACAGTCAACTTTTGGCTCCACAGTTTCCCTCGTGGTCATGCAGGTGTTTGGTTTGCACTGCTGTACGACACACTAGCTTTGTAAAAGCAACATTATGTGCTAAAGGGGAATATCGGGTTATACAGGACACATTATTAGAGCTCCAGTAGGAAGAGGGATTTTACGAGACTCATTTGTTGTACCTGCATCTTTCCGATCACATCCTCCCTTTTCCATGCAGGCTAGGTCTACCTCTTAGCACTGGCAGCTAATAGCCTTCAACCTGCAGTAAATTGAGATGTAAAGCTTTATCTGTTGGTGTGTTCGGCTGGCGGTGCACACCGGAGGGGAACTTGAGAAAGCAGACTGAACGGCGGAGGAGCTTTAGCCCAGAGGCCTGCTGGGAAGCCACTGTTCCACTTCTCATTACCCAGGTCACTCGGGGTTATCAGGCAATACTTCGAGTGGAGAGGTAGGCACTCAGCTTCACTTAACACATGCACACATATTTCACCCTCCTGTTGGCTTCAGACAGGCGAGCCCATGCTCTCGCGCCATTTATAGAGTATGAACTGTAAACATGTCGGAGGTTCCTGAGGCGTCTGCAGCACAGCCTAAACAGAAAAATCTATTCAACACACACACACACACACACACACACACACACACACACACACATACACAAATGCCCTCCTGCTAAACACAAAAGGTTTGCCCAAACACATCCACCCACGTCTAAACACACAGGTTTAGTTTTCCCTAAACATGAACGCTGAAACCCACTGACACACACACACACACACACACTCTTATAAAAACAGGCACCTTTTGCTTCCTGCATGACGCATTCTATGAGTGTATCTGAAGGTACCCTGAGTCACAGTCGAGCTGCATTGCAGAATGGCAGGGCACACACACACACACAGACACACACACACACACACACACACACACACACAGAGTAGAGGATGGTGTGAGTGTTGAGCTAAAATGCCACCGGGCAAGTGCAGTGCTTGACAAAGAAGGAAAGAAAGAAAGAGGGAGGAATCAGTGAAGAGAGAGAGAGAGAGAGAGAGAGAGAGAGGGGAGTGGAAAAAAATATTGAACATGTCAGGCAAGGTATGTAGCAGCCACAAAGAAATAGAGAGGTTCCAATTTAGATTCCCGAATTTGCATATCGGCCGATACGATTACCAATCCGATGCCAGTGCTTTCATACAGGTCATAATTCCCTCTTTAAGATCTACTTTATATTGCTGTGAAAACATCTCCTTCAAACAACTGTATTTATTCAAGTTTCTCACCAAATGTATTTTTGACACGATAACATTTGAACACATCATGGTATAATCTACCTTCGCCCAGTACTCATTTTTACTGAATAAATCTTGAACATATCATCACGTAACTCATTGCAACTTCCGTCCGGTGCATAGACTCGCCAAGGCACTTCTGATACTGGCATCGATATCGACACAACAGAGAAATGTGCTGAACAAGCAGAAAGGAAACGGAGAACGAATGAGAAGACTCGAGAAAGAAAGAAGGGGAAGAAGGAAACTGAATTCCAGCACATTCCTGCGACAGAACTCAATTTTCTGATAGGCTCCATGTTCAGAGTGTCAGATTTGCTGAGTTAACCCAAGTTAACCTTGTGTGTGTGAGAGTGAATGATAGTGTGTGTGTGTGTGTGTGTGTGTGTGTGTGTGTGTGTGTGCGCACTGTAAACAGGATGGGGTAGGGACACCTTGTCCCAATCTAATCATGGGGTAGAGCAAGAAAAAAAAAAGGCGTGTATTTATCTCAGAATTCACACTTTCCCTGTCCTCAGTGTCAACAAACCCGCACTGCATTCAAACAGCAAGTATGTTGATATACAGTACAATCACTCACATGCGATGTGGGATGTATTTAATCACCCTTTAAAGTCCAGTCTGAAAGGGCAGGACAGTTTGTGAGGGTTGTGAATCTCGCAGTCGGACACGCTGAGATGCTTCCAGTGCAGAAGAGAGGAAGGAAAAGTGAAGTGAGGTGAACTGATAAACAGCTTTATGGAGTTCGTCTGTGACGTCTAATAACGTCTGAATAAATCAACAACCCTGAGCAGACATATATATGTTTCCCCCTTTACTCTTTTCATTTTTTTATGCCGCATTTTGCTGTGAGAGAGACACTATCTATCTCTGAGGGTCTGCTTTTTTCTCTGCTGCTCTCCCTCATCTCTTTTTGGCTGTCCACTCTCTCTCTCTCCCTCTCTCTCTCTCCCTTCCCCTCAGCCATTAACAATAGAGCCATTCATGTGGCCACACTTTGAAACATGGCGTGGGGGGTTGGAGGGGGCCAGAGGTGACACTGAGGAGGGAGGAAGAGGAAAAAGAGGAGGAGGAGGAGTTGGGGAAGGGGGGGGGCTTTCTTTTCTTCTGCGCAGCTCTTTTATGAGGGAAGAAACATAATTTTCTCA